AGGAGTTGATGATGATGATGATGATGATGATGATGATGATGATGATGATGATGATGATGATGATGATGATGATGATGATGAGGATGAGAACTGACTGACATCTCCATAACAACAAAAGTTTTATTGTTGCCCCTGTTGATGCCGATGCCAGTTCAGCGTTTGCAGCGTCTATGGAGATTCCCCGGAATTAATGAGTTGTGACCGTTACAGTAGAGCGGTGCGTCATCAAATATGGAACGAGAGCTGAATGACAGCAATGCCTCCGAGTGAATGTTTGTCCAGGTTCGATCTCAGAGAATAGAATAAAAATGTGAGGCACCGTGGTGAAATCAGGCGCTCGTCAATAAAAATGAAATCGAAGAAACAGGCATTTTTCAGCCAGTTTGGCAATTTTTTAATTTATTGAATTAAGTTGTTTGGCTCTACGCCTTTATGTCCATATAAAACACATTGTCGTTCTGATTTGTCCGAAAACCTTGATTAAAGTTTTTTTTTAAAGAAGTAATTTTTCAGTTTTCAAGGACTCTAAAGCTATTGAAGTTTCCGAACTTTGGTGGCCACTTTCTCGCTAATTTTAACACTGAAACCAGGCGACCTCATCTCCCTCAATCGCAAATTTTCTACGTCTATTTTAGATAAATGGGGGTTTTTTCATTGAAAGTACGGGAAATGAATAAGCGTTTAGGTGGTACCAATAACTCCACATGACCAAAAATTGACGAGCGCCTTATTCCACCACGTCGGAACAAAAATGTTTCCAAATATGCTGTTTGTTTAGCCTCCTCTCCTCGACCCCGCCAAGTGAATTGTCATATCTTTAGAATCTGGAGCAGACTTACGTAACGTGAATACACACACTCACACACATGCTCACATACACGTACACTCATGCATACACACACGCTCACACGTGTGCTCACATACACGTAGACATACACATACACGCACGCGCACACGTGTGCTCACATACATGTACACTCAGGCATACACACACACACACACACACACACACACACACACACACACACACACACACACACTCAAACACACATACACACACTCACATGGGTACTCACACATACACACGCCTCCACACATACGCGCACACACACTCACACACACACACATGGGTGCACACACATGCACACGCCTCCACACACACGCACCCTTCTTCTTCTTCTTCGTCCTCTTCTTCTTCTCCTCCTCCTATCATTATCATCTGTCTATCTTTGTCTCATTCCCCCTCTCTCTCTCTCTCTCTCTCTCACTCTGTCTCTCTGCCTCCCCCCCCCCCCTCCCAAAAAAACCCACACTTCCCTCCACAACAACAAAACATGCACATTTCATCGACCACAGAAATACCTGTCGTTCTTGCCCTCTCTGAAACCTTTGATCCTGACACCTCTAGAACCCGTGCACTCATCCGTCATGTGAGATCTGTGGCCGACTCTTTCAAAAACCTGTACCGTGACTGATCGATGGGGGCAGAAAACCCATGCAAGGCCCGTAATCAAACATGGCCGCAGAAAAGTGCAAACTCAGGGAGAATCGGAATTGCATTGGGAATGAAATCAAATACATTTACTTTCGGACTCGTTATCGTAAATCGCTTGACAGAAAATATCATGTTATTTTAATGTTGTTGTTTTGGGTTTTTTAATAATTTTTAGAGCAACCATACAAATACATGTACAATGTATGATATATTTTTTACATTTTCAATTGTAAATCAATTATCGGAAAACAGATGTTATTTTAATGTGTTTCTTTTACTTCTGCAGCAACCATACAGCAATCAAATACGTAATATACTTTCTGACTCTCTGTTGTAAATCGATTGACAGAAAATATAATGTGTTATTTTAATGTGTTTCTTTTACTTTTATGGCACCGAAACATAACAATAATATGTATCATGTAGACGCGTCGTTCATGTTCTGTAGTTCTGGGTTTGAAGTCCACGTCTCTCTCTTTTTTTATCAGTAAGCCTTAATATTTACTGATATGGGTTTGGTTTTTTTCGTGTATAGTGACAGTGGCTTCACATGTGTTGTTTCTATCTATCTTTCTTTTTTTATTTAAGATGTTTCCACGATTCCTTGATTTCATCAACGCAACACTTGCCATTGTGTACTTTAGGGCATTGAGCAAAGCCTTAGGCTGCTGCACTGGCGTTTGTGGTGCAGATGTTAGGCTCTTTGATCTCGCACGCAGGAGACCTGAGTTCGATTCACGAGTAGGGAGAATTTCTTTTCGAATATCCCAGTTTGGGGGGGGGGGAGGTTGCTGGGATATTTGATCCCTCTCAGCCCTGGTGGATCGGAAGCCCGCCTCCTAAATGATATTAATCACGTCGATGGGGTCTAAAACTCATACATAAAGATAGATAGATAGATAGATAGATAGATAGATAGATAGATAGATAGATAGATAGATAGATAGATCAGGTACGAAATCTAGCAAAAAAGGTCAAGTAAGCATGCTTGTATTTTTTAACCTTCAAAATCTCTATTTTTAGACTGACGTCACCATCACAAGCCAAACAAGGAAATGCAGAAGAGAAACCCACATCCGGCCTCCGATGGCGAGAGCGACTCCAGTGACAGCACAGACACACAGCAATACCAAGATGGCGACGTCCGTCGGCGGGGGAGAGAGGAAATGACGTCAGAAGAGGGAGACAACTCTGGGAGAGCTGATGGCTCTGGTGGCGGTGAAGGGAACGCTGAATACGAGATGGCTCAGCTGGGGAATGGGACCGCTCACGTGGGGAACGGACAGACGCATGTTGGGAACGGAATCAAGCCCACGAGGTGAGTGGCTGGAGGATGGACGTTGCCTTTGAGGATGGAAGGAATTAAGGAAGACATACCATGTTTTGAATGTGTTGTTTGTTTGGTTGTTGTTGCTGTTTGTTGTTGTTGTTGTTACTGTTGTTGCTGTTGTTGTTGTTGATATTGTGTTGTTATTGTGGTTGATGTTGTGTTGTTGTTGTGTTGTCGCAATACCATACGATGCCATGCAATACAACATAGCATATCATATCATAGCATCCATAACATACCACACCGTACCATACTAAACCGTGCCATTATCATACCATACCATATCATACCATAATACCATAATTATAATACCATGCCATACCCTACCATACCATACCATACCATACCATACCATACCACACCGTACCACACTAAACCGTACCTTTTTCATACCATACCATATCATACCATACCATAATTATAACACCATGCCATGCCATGCCATACCCTATCATACCATACCATACCATACCAGGCGTTACCGTACCGTAGCATGGGGGATTCACTGAATGAATAATCGACTGTCGTGGGAGGGGGAGGTAGTAAAGGGTGTGTGGGGTGAGGAGGAGGGTGTAAAGGATGTGTGGGGGGGAGGGAAGAGAATGGGATTTGGTGGTTGGTGTATGCGTGTGTGTGGTGGGAGGTGGGGGCATCTGGCAACCACAGAGCTCACGATCGGCTCACTGTGCTGTGTACGTATTCACGCCAAACAAACCATAACAGGTCGGCAGACAGATACGGGAGTGACCCCTCCTTTCGTGGTGAAATCAGGCGCT